ATCAAAGAATAAATCTGGGTAGTTAAAAAATTTTGGGTTTTAAGTAAAATAATTTTGTCTTCTATGAAAAACTATTTCGACTTTTTTCCCCGAAATTGTAATTTCAGGGCCCCAAAATAATTTTGCGTGCAAATATAGATATAATCGATAACTTTCAAAATCTAATATTGCAATATAATTTTGAAAGTTTTTGAATTAATATAATTATTGATAAATTTAAAATATTTTTTGTTTATATAAATAAAAAATGTCTACTTTGTAATAACAAATTTGAAAGATATTAATATAAACTTAATAAAAGGTTTAATTTTCTTTCTTTAATAATTGAATTAGTAGAGTACCTTCTAAAACAATAATTTTATTTTTTAAAAAGAACTATAAACTTCTTAAAAGAATTTTTAAATTATATAATTAACTTATTACAAAATATTCTATCATAGAAGTCAAAATATTTTGAAGTCCAAAAGTTAAAATGAGTTTTTTATTAAAGACAAAATTATTTTACCTAAAATTCAAAATTTTTTGATTATCCAAATAAATTTTTTAATTAAAAATATATTAAATTAAATATTTTTTATTTCCATATATATATAATAAGAATAAGTTTTATTTAAATATTTGATAATATATAATAGATACAGTATTTCAAAAATCTCAAAGAGACAAAATACCTCAAAAATTAAAAATTAATTTTTGAAAACATGTATAAACCTGATATATATAAATGTAAGATATTTTTATCTTGAGTTCTCAGTTCAATTCAGTCAGTTTTCACAGTTCAAATTTGTTTAAGTTTAGTTTTAATACAAATAAGATAAAAGAAATTAAACAAAGATTTTAATTTGAGTTTTAAGATATTTATAATTGTTATTGTATTTCTTTATTATTAATAAACTATATATTATCCTGTATCTGTTATTATTTTATATAAGGTTTATTTCCTGTACCTTGTATAAGTAACAAATAGAATACAGAATAAACTAAATTGGACCAAACCAAAGTCCAAAGAATATTTTTAGGTCTAATTTAGATCCAGCCTAATAGAAAATTCAGAAAATAGGTCAGATTGAATTTTACCTTAAACTTAATAGAATACAGAATAAACTAAATTGGACCAAACCAAAGTCCAAAGAATATTTTTAGGTCTAATTTAGATCCAGCCTAATAGAAAATTCAGAAAATAGGTCAGATTGAATTTTACCTTAAACTTTATAAAAATTGGCCATTCTGATGAATAAATTATGAAGATGCAACTCATTTTTTTCATTAAGTTATGCTGATTGGCTAAAATTTATCAAGAATATTATCACTATTTGCACTATCACACTATTGATCTATGTTCAATATATTTGATATATATTTATATTAAAAATAACAAATCCATAAATTTTAAACATAAATTTATTATTATTATTTTTTTTTTTGATTCTATTTTTAAAATTACTTGTTTTATCTATTCAGTATTGGGATGATTATAGAAAAAAAAAGACATTAGTAAAATGAGTTGAATAAGTGATAATTAACATAGCTAATTTGATTATGTATATAATTAATGGCTAATTAATTAGATATAGTAATCAACTGAAATGAATAAATGTCCTATAATTTACATGACAATTATAACTATTTTTTCTTTAATATTCAAAGCAATAATGCTAAAGGATATTTTATTGAGCCCATTGACATGTTCACAAAGCCCAAACCCAATTCAATATTTAGCAAGCCCAACCTAAGCCCGGCTCACATAATAACGGACTCAAAAATATGAGCCCAAACTGAATTCAAGTCCAGCTTGGCTTGAAAATTCATGGTTTAACCTGGTCTATTCCGTACCCCTAGTCATAACTAACTTGGTACGATAACATTCCTCATTACTTAAAAGAACTTGTAATTTCTTAGAAACCCCTGAGTTTAGTTGTATAAATTCTAATCCTGAAATTCACCTTCTAATTAACCAACTGAACAAATTATCAACTAGCACACAACAGTATAATCTTTTTATCTTGTTTTTTTAAAAAATATTTCTAATGGCATATAATTCTTTGGTTCAATGGTAAATTAAAAAAATTAAAAAATTATGAATAAAGTGCTAAAAAGAAAGTTATTGATTAGCCTACCAGTTATTAGTATTTAGAGCATCTTGAATATCTTTTTCTAAATCTTTTATATACCCTTGAAATCTGACAATTTTTTCTCATTCTCAATTTGTTTTCTTGCTAAACATTCTTTAATTTAAACTATTCATAAACTTTTTCTCAATGATTTTCTTGAATAATTCTGTTTCAGAGTTTAATTGATAGTTTCTTTAAACTTTTATTATATTTATTGAATCTTAACAATTTGTATCCTTATATCTTAGTTTTAGATTTTCCAATCATTTAATTCATGGATGACTTCTCTTGACTATCTTTTAGAAATTTTTCATAATATATTTTTTATAATTCATATTGATAAGTAAATTTTTTTTTTAACCAACTCCAAGACGTTTATTATAATATTGGTAAGTACGTGAATATATAAAGATAGATTTCCTATTGTTTGTAACATTACCCCATATTCGTACACCCAACATACAAATGATGTTAATCAATTTTGAGAATTTTGATATTTGAAATTGCAGAGTTCGAATATAAACACAAAAAAAAATGTCAATCAAGAAAGAAGAAACCCCAACATCACTAGTTAGTTATTTTTTTTTTAAAAAAAATTTAATTCTTGGTTCTCTTGGATCCATATAAACAGCTAATCTTCCTTATTCCTTCCTTATTTTCTTTGTTTCAGCCACAAGCCGCTGCTAGACAAAAACTTGAAGAAGCGGAGATAGAATTAAGGGATTTATTAAATCGTAAAAAGCAAGTTGATAAAAGTCTGGTAAGTTTATATGTAAAAGGAATATTTTTAGTTATTCCTGTTAGTTTATATAATGGTATTAGTTTGAAATTTATTAAACTATCAGAAAGCTATCGAAAAACAAATTTGGCAATTCGAAGGATCTTATCTAGAAGAGACTCATTCAGGTGGAAATTTGATTCGTGGCTTCGATAATTATTTGAGAGCTACAAACGATAAAAAGAAAAAATCAGAAATTAATTATGAAGATCGATTATTCTCGAGATCAAGGTTATTTATCATTTCTATTTGACGTTGAAGTTATTTTTTTTTCTTTCATTATAGTTCTAACAAACACAACAATAATATTTTATTAACATTTATTAATTTGTTTGTTTTAGTGCAACATCCGAAAAGGTATAGTAATTTTGATACATCAGTAATTTGTTAAAAATATCAGAATACTAAAATTTTGTTTTTGAAGATAGGCTAATGGTAATAAGGGTGAAGATTCATCAACAAGCTCAGATGATAATAAATCTGGTTACAAAAAAATGGGGGATAATATAAAAAAGAAGAAAAATAAGAAACCCATAAATTATGCATATTCACAGGAAGTCAAAGATAACAATAGAGAACATAAACGAATCAGATTATCATTACGAGATACTGCCGAAGATGATTTTGATATTTGATGAATATTGTAAAGATGGATATGAATTATAAATCACGATGATGACAAAGGATGATAATGATAAGAATGTATGAGAATGACAAGTATTTAAAGAAATAATCATACGTTGAAGATTTACAAGACTGACTATCATATTATGAAATATTATGAATTAACTTTCTTTTTTAACAAAGCGCATTGACAACTTTCTGTATTTGTCTGATTGAGAAAATAGAAAACTTATTGAATATTTTGGAATTATTCTTTTATATCTGCATTATTATATTTGTATATAGAATGATTTAGAAAGAACAACCACTAAAAGTTAATAATTAATAATCGAACGAAAATAAACATGATCGAACTGTTACTTTGTTATTTCCTTATTATTTTAATTAACCTTTTCTTTGTTATTTCTTTTGCAATTATAAAATGTTTCTTGGCATTCGTTCGCTACTATCGAAAGATCGTAGCCAGGTTGCATGTACATGGCGAGGAAGTCAATGCCCAAAAAATTTTTGAAAAAACAAATAACAAAAAACACGAAGGTCAATGTATACAGTATATATAATTCAACCTATCTTCTATCTTATATAATCACAATCTGTCTATAATCACTATCCCCGATTTTTTAGGTCCAGTACTTATTAATGTTCCTCCTTTATAATCACCGATCATATGCTTGCAAATCAGTAGGTTCAATTTCACAAAATATAAAATAAAATAATATAAAATAAAATAATAAATTTTTTTATAATCACCACTTGTATTATCACGCCAATCATCATAATTACATCATAATCATAATTATCATAATTATATCATTTTATATAGGTATTTAATAATATAATTAATTATTATAATTATTTAATGGTCATCATATAAACATATGACGTATTTGAAGAACAATTACACAGCAGGATTCGGTAATATATATATGAAAATAATATCAGGGTTCTATTAAAGGTAGGAAAGATCGAAGGGTTTCTCTATGCTAAAAGTATGCAATTTTGTCCACACTTCGGAATCGTCATAAACGAATTAAATAAATATACTTTGTTCAATAAATTTAATTAATTAATTGATTATTAAACAAGAAAATGATTCTTAAATTTTTTTTTTTTGGTGTTATCTTATTGAATATTAGTAGGTTTAACGGATAATAATAGTAATCAACCACAAGAATATTCTATATGTAGGATAATCCACTAGTTTTTACTAGGAGGTCATTAACAGAGAGACAAACACCAACTGCATTTACTTATATATACAAAAAAAGAGGGAGATGGGGATTGATATACAGTATACTATACTGGAAATGTATTTTAAATAGCAAAGTAATAATCAATGGAGTAATTAATATAATTTTGTATTTTATTTCTATTTGAAATAATAAATAATTAAAATAAAATATATTATTATTTATATTATATAAAAAAATATAAAAAAAACATATTCTGGTAGCAATTAAAAAATAACAAAACAACGGCTAAACTTTTTTTTCAAGAGGAGTAAAATCCATTAAATTCACGACATTTTAGAAACAATAAACTATGCTACAATTAGAAGTACATTCAAAAAAAAAAAGAATATAAAAAAATATAAATATGAAGCCTTACCAAATTGTCAGAATACTCAAAGTAAATCCTATTAACACTGAAAAGAATTTAATTGTAAAACCAAAAATTTGAGCACAAGAGAACATGTATATACAATACAAATTAGGTTAGGATATATATATATATATATATAAAATAATAAGGTGTATTTCCTCAAACAGATCAATCCTTTCACTAACCCATCTTTAAGAATAGCACTAATCCATCTTTAAGAATAGCACTAATCCTTTTTCAAACAATACCAAACCCAAACATTAACGGAATTCCTGTTGGACACGTCTTATCACGCGAAACCAACACAAACAACCTCCAAATCGGACGACTCATGTAACTTTAAATGATAAAAAAAAACGATATTAATTATATTTAATTATGACAATGATATGACGTGAATCTTCTTTGATTTTGCAGTCTTTACCATATCGAGAGCCATACTTAATTATTTTATTCCTGATTTGACTGTATGACCAAGTAGTGATTTTCTGATGCATTTAAATTCGTTAACGTGGATTATATAATGCAACATCGTCCCAGATACTTTCCCAAGTTTTAATAATTATCATTAATTGTCAAAAAAAATAATGTCTTTACAACAAAATGAAACAACTTCGGAGCGCAAACATCCTCACACATTGTCAACGACGGTAACTATAATCGTTAAAAGCTTATTGTTTCAATTTTCTCTTTTTTTTTCTTCCTTATTTGACTGATTCTCTTTTACTGATTAAAGGACTTTCAAAGCGCAGGTTCTGGAATAGCTGCCAAAGCTATGCGCACTGAACTGAACAAGTTGACTAATGCGATTCTAGACGTGAAGGCTCGTAAGGTATGTTTCTTCTCTTGGTTTAAAAGTCACAAATATTTATTAATTTTTATTTTATTCTCTTAGGCTTTTCAAACCGAAATGGACAATTTTTATATGTTGTTTACACGTTATTTGACTGAAAAGGCCAAAGGAACTAAATTGTAAAAAAAAAAATTATGATATCTTTTAATAATTATATGTTTTCACATTAAAAAAAAAAAATAAATAAATAACTCAATAATTAATCTTTTTAGGGATTGGGATAAAGTTAATGAACCTAGTCCCGAACAAATTATCAATTACTCAAATTTACCTCGTTGTGAGAATCCTCAACATCTTAATAAATTGGCCGTTTTAAAACTTAATGGTGGTTTAGGGACAACTATGGGATGTATAGGTCCTAAGAGTGCTATTGAAGTTAGGGATGGTATGACATTCTTGGATCTAAGTGTCAGGCAAATTGAGGTATTTTTATTTAAATCACGTGTATTATAAGTATAATAAATATAATAAAATATAATAAATATAAGGAATATTTATCTAACATATGTTTATAGTACCTAAATAATAAATACAATGTCAGCGTACCTTTTATACTTATGAATTCTTTCAACACGGATGAAGATACAATGCGCATTATTCAAAAATATGGAAGTCATAAAATTAATATTCTTACATTCAATCAATCGCGTTATCCTAGAATCAACAAAGAATCTTTGTTACCAATGCCTCGTACGCCTGTTGGAGATATTAGTCAATGGTATTTAAATCATAATTTATCTCTTATATTTTATTTAAATAAATATATATATATATTGATTAATATAATCATATGAGAATAATTATATGAATAATAATTATATAATAATTACATTCTTTGATTTTATAGGTATCCACCCGGTCACGGTGACTTGTTTGAATCTATGTCAAATTCTGGAATACTGGATCGACTTATTGCTGATGGGAAAGAATATCTTTTTGTTTCTAATGTTGACAATTTGGGTGCAGTAGTTGATTTAAATATTCTTCAACATATGGTGGATTCTGACGCAGAATTCGTCATGGAAGTTACAGATAAAACTAAAGCTGATATTAAAGGTGGTACCCTCATTGATTATGAAGGTACTGTTAGATTATTGGAAGTGGCTCAAGTCTCTCCTGAACATATGGAGGATTTTAAATCAATTAAAAAATTTAAAATTTTCAACACCAATAATTTATGGATAAATTTAAAAGCCATAAAACGGGTTACTGAAGAAAAAGAATTAAACCTTGATGTTATCGTTAATACTAAAACACTTGAGCATGATAAAAAAGTAATTCAACTTGAAACTGCTGTTGGTGCAGGAATCAAGCATTTTAAAAATGCACATGGTGTCAATGTACCACGAAGTCGTTTCTTGCCTGTCAAATCGACCTCTGATTTATTCTTGGTCACTTCTGATTTATATTCTCTTCATCATGGAGAACTTGTGATGAATCCAAAGAGACTCTTTCAAACAGTTCCGCTGGTTAAGTTGGGTGATGAATTTAAGAAGGTAATTCTTTTTTAACATGATAATAATAATTATTCATGACGCGTTTAGAATGATAGTTTAACTTGTGATTATATTTTGTTCTAGGTCTCAAATTTTATGTCACGGTTTCAATCACCGCCTTACATTATTGAGCTTGATCATCTTACTGTTACGGGTGATGTTACGTTTGGAGCGGGTGTACAATTAAAAGGAACAGTAATTATTGTCGCGACTACGGGTTCTAGAATCGATATTCCACCAAATTCTCTCCTTGAAAACAAGGTCGTTTCTGGGAACTTAAGGTTAGTAACTAATTTTTTTTGAAAAATATTATAATTTATTATAATTTATTAAAATTTATTAAAATTTATTTCAGGATTCTCGAACATTGAAAACTTTCGCTACATCGTTTTTAGTATGATTTTACTTAATAATTTCTATGCAATTAATTTAATTATTGATTTCTCACTTGTTTTAAAAATTTATTAAACGAATTACGTCATTCACCATTTTATATTGATAATCTGTTACACAAACTTAGGTTCTAATAATAATGATTGGATAAAAAGCAAATATATTCTTCCATTATCATTATTTATTGATTAAAGATTCAAAAATTTAAATAAATTTAATAAAATGCGAGTCAATTATTTTTATCAATTTCATATTTTTTTGTTGTTAAACAATTTTTAACTCTTGAAATTCTTTAAAAATGAATTTTTTTGTATTGACTTTGATTTTCATTTGATTCATCAAAATCGTGATTTTTTTGTCAAGTGTTATACAAAATTTTATAATTATGTAATTCATTTTTACAAATCAAAAAATAATGTAACCACATTAACGTTAACTTTTAATACGCGTTTTTTGACTTTTGGAGAAATCAAAAAAAAAAAAAATCGAATAATATGGGTATTCATGGTTTATCAAAAGTTATTGGTGATCACTGCCCGGGTGCGATCAAATCCAACGAAATTAAGAATTACTTTGGACGTAAAGTAGCTATAGATGCTTCTATGTCTATATATCAATTCTTAATTGCCGTAAGACAAGACGGTCAACAGTTAGCTACAGATTCCGGAGAAACCACAAGGTGTATATATATAATAAAAATATATAAAAGATTTAAATAAACCAATTCAAATAAGACTCCAGTATTTTTTCCTTTTTTTTATATTAAATTTTTTGATTTTTTTTTTTTTTACGCGTTTGGCTCTTCAAAGTCATTTGGTGGGAATGTTTAATCGAACTATTCGTATTGTGGAGAATGGAATTAAACCATGTTATGTCTTTGATGGAAAACCACCAACATTAAAAAGTGGAGAGGTACAAAAAATAATTATTAAATTATTATTTATTATTTTAGAAAAAAAAAAACAAATCATATCATTATTATATATAACATGATATTCTATACGTTTTAATAAACAGTTAGCTAAACGTTTGGAGCGAAGAAAAGAAGCAAATAAAAATCTTGAAGAGGCAAATGAAACCGGTGATTTGAATTAATTAATTTATTAATTTGTATTTAATATATTTGATCAATATATTTGATTATTGATAATATATTTAATTGATATAATATAATATAATAGGTGATGCAGCTGATGTTGATAAATACACTCGTCGAACAGTAAGAGTCACCCCTGAACATAATGATGATTGCAAGAAACTATTGAAACTAATGGGAATTCCATATTTAGTGGTACCATTTTCTTCTCTCTCTATTCGAACATTTCTTTTCGTGTTTTTGATTTCGAATTTGTTTTTTTTTCATGTTAACGTTTTTTTTTTAATAATAAATCTTAGGCTCCATGTGAAGCAGAAGCTCAATGTGCTGCTCTAGCAAAAGCGGGAAAGGTAATATATTTTTAATCTTAATATTTTTCGTCTTTAATACAAAATCATATGATAAAAAAAAAATTAATTACCAGGTGTACGCAGCGGCATCCGAAGATATGGACACGTTAACTTTTTCTTCTCCCGTATTATTACGTCATCTGACTTTCAGTGAAGCCAGAAAAATGCCAATTGATGAAATACATCTTAGTAAGGTTTTAGAAGGACTCGATATCAGCATGGATGAAGTAAATAATATTTTCAATTATTTATTTATTTGTTCAGCGTAATAAATAAATCTAATTTAACAAAAATTTTATATAAAGTTTATCGATCTTTGTATTCTTTTGGGATGTGATTATTGTGATTCTATTAAAGGAATTGGGCCACAACGCGCAGTAGAGCTCATCAAAAAGTATCATAGTATAGAAGAAACCTTAAAGAATATAGATCAGAAAAGATTTCCTATTCCCGAAGATTGGCCATATAAGGAAGCACGTGAATTATTTCACAAACCAGATGTACAAGATCTGGATTCTATAGAAGTATTTATTACTTCAAACATTTTGAATTCTTTTTTTTTTTTTTTGATGAATTTTCAGATTTATTAATCATCTTTAAATATAACAATTATAATTATAATTATTATTATTCAGATCAAATGGCAAGATCCAGATGTTGAGGGAATAGTTGATTATTTGGTGCGGGAGAAAGGATTCAAGTTTGTTTTTTTTTCAAGTTTAATAATTAATATACATATCTATTTTTTTAATGGTGAATTTATAATAAATAATAATAAATAATAATAATTATTATTATTATTATTTTTTAAAGTGAGGAACGTGTAAGAAAAGGTGTAGAAAAACTATCCAAAAATTTAAAAGGTGCTACACAAGGAAGATTAGACAGTTTTGTCACAATAACTGCGAATCCAAAGGTTCCAATTAAACGCAAGGTTGGAAAAATATAAACTTCAATGCTTTGTTGTATAATAGAAAAATCTCATTATTTTTATAATAATAATTATTATTATTATTTATTATAATTATTTTAAAATATCTTTTTTTTTAATAGGCTGAAGATAAGAAAGTAGATAAAACGCCAAAAAAAGTAAAGGCGTCCAGTGGTAGTAAAAAGGGAAGACCCAAAAAAAGTTGAGACCGTGATTATGATCCATTTATATATATATATATATTAGTCATATTTAGAAAATAATATATTAAATTTTGTATATTTCGTAAATATTTTTTTGTGATCAGCTGATTACTCTTAAAATTTTTCCAAAAATCCTTTTCTTTTTTGCTGATAAAATTATGTAATTATTGTAATTTGATTTAATTCCATTATTTTGAATAAAATGAACTTTATATAACTTCATTATGATTATTATTTATTATTATAATTATTATTATGGTGATATGATGATGATGATGATGATGATGATGATGATGATTATAATAGGTAAAAATTATGAAATTCCACGTGAAGGGTAAAAATTTTCCCTTTCTGATTGTAAATCTGATACTTTGATTAAAAAATAAATAAATGACAACAGTAAAATATTGTTAAATATAAAACTTGTGAATGAATTGAGTGAATTGATTATTCCATATGTACATACATATAAATATATAATAATAATAATAATAATAATAATAGATTATAAACTTACCCTTTAAATTTTTTTCGCTATGAAAACCAAAAAAAAAATATATAATAATTGATATAAAAATAGATTTGACATCTAAAATTGAAGATTAAAATCGTCATTTGTATTATAATAAATAGTCATTAAGTTATTTATTTAATTTTTTTAATTATGCTAATTAATTCTTTTAATTATTTTAATTAATTTAATTATTTTTTGAAATAAATTATTATTATTTTATTTATTTTATTTATTTATTTATTTATTTATTATTATTATTATTATTATTATTATTATAAAATTATTCGAATTTCTAATTTAACCGTCTTGATTATGATGATGTGGTTGATATACTGTTGGATTCGTAGAGAAAATAATTGATTCTATATTTTGCTTTGCGATCGCTGGATCTTTCGAAAGGCTAGAAAGAAAAAAATAATTCAGAAATTTAAAAATCAAAATAACAAAAAAATTGATTGAATAAAAAAATTTATTAATCACGTACTGAGTATATTTGAATTTATATTCATTATTTTCGTGCAAAAAGTATCTTGGCCTCCAATCAATTCCATCGGATTCTCGAAGTTTTGCCTCATCTCGTTGACAGTCTTCAATTTTAGATTTTTCATTTGAAGCAAGATCCAAATTTCGTCCTATTAAAGCACTTGTAACTTTTGACCATAAACTAAATCAAAAAATCCGCAAGTATAATAAAAATTATATTAAGTTAATAAATAAATAATAAATACTTACCTATCTTAAAAAAAAATAATGATAATAATAATAATAATAATACTTACCGCCGAGATTCATTTTCTTCTTGTTTATCATCCGGTGCTACAATTTTTGGGTATATATTTGAATCTTGAACACTAAATAATACTTCCTTATTTCCAGTCTGTGTCAACGAAATGAAGTAATATTAATAAATTAAATTATGAGTCCGATTTCATTTTTTTATTTATTTATTTACCCTTAGATCTTTAATGTACATAATGTCTGACCATTTCCCTGTAATTTCGTAAATAATTTCTCCTGTAGATTCTTGCTTTATTTTTCCATAAATTGAATTATATGCACCAGTAAAAAATCCCTAGATAAATTTAAAATAAATTTATTGATTAATGATTCATTACTAAAAAATAAAAAATAAAAATAAAATAAAAAAATAAAAAAATAAAAATAAAAATAAAATAAAAAAATAAAAAATAAAAATAAAAATAAAATAAAAAAATAAAAAATAAAAATAAAATTATGTAAAAATTTTACCTTTGTTCGAAATTCCAATTCACATATAAAATCAAGATTCTCACATCGAACTGTGGAATTATCACCTAATTCCATAACCATTCTTCCAAATAAAATTCCACGAGCATAAACATTAGGCATTACAATTTGATAAACTTCTCCTGGTCGATTGGTGAAATAGATTTTGGATTCACCTTGCATTAAGGTTGCCGCACTATTACCCAAAAATTTTGATTTTGGTCTTATGTCTCCACAAATAATTAAATTATTTTCCGGACTTGCATAATAATAAGCGGATATAGGTGGATGATGAGATACTTGTTCTGATACAAAAAATGCTTCCGTATTATCAGGAAATACCCAACGAGCCCGAAAATGTTCACCTAATACTGGATTATAAGGTTTTTTTACACCCTATAATGAATTATTGTGATGAATTATTGTGATGAATTATTGTGATGAATTTTTGTGGAGATTGAAATTTTCAAGATGAATTAATTTTATTATTTATTTACCTTAGGTTTAATATGCCATCCGGATAAATAATATCTCACGACGCTTACAAATCGCGTAAGGGGATCTTCTTCCTTAGCAACACTGAAGTGAATAAATTAAAATAAATTGAAATAAATAAATTGAACCAAATTAATTGATATAAAACGAATTTAGGAATTCCATTATAATATTATTCAATAAAAATGGCTATTTCGATACGAAAGTATCAAATCAGAAGACACACCCAAACTAAAAACAACTCTTTACATTCAATCTACATTATTCCAAGTTTTTGATAATTTTGAAGGATCCGTGAACCGAATAAACAAACAAACCTTAGAATTAAATCAGGGTGGCTCATGAAATCAGTGATCCGTTCTAACATACTCCGAGGTTCTAATACAAAAGTTGGTAAGGTGACTCGATGTAAATCCATTCCTTTACGTAGTTGAGAGATGAGTCCTAGAAGAATACTACGTGGTTCTTCATCGAGAACTTCCGTATCGTTAAAATTTTCATCGTCAGCCATTGTTATTATTACTTATTTTGAAAAATTGGATAATTGGATATTTTTTGACAAAAGGTTTTAAATAAAAAATTAAGGAAAAATTAGAAAAGTTAAATAAAATTTTATAAATAGATGATGCAGAATTTACATTATCGAATTTGCATAGCATATCAATATCGAAATTTGGCAATGCACACACTTGTTTAATTTATTTTATTCTATTTATAATATAATATATTAACACACGTGAGCACGTTTAAAGTAATGACCTTAGTTCAACTAAAACAAAAAAGTAGGTAGCTTTTTCATTTTTGCATTAAAAATGCGTTCTTTTTAATCAATATCTTCTTCTGTTTCATATGAATGAGATAATTTTTGATAAGACAATAACAAATTTAAATCTAATTCAGAAAATTATTGAAATTGCAAATATCTATTTTGTATCCTCTCGGAACACTATCCAAGTACTATCAAAGTACTATAAATTATTATAAATTATTATAAATTATTAGTAAAATATAACAAAACATCTTATTTTAGGAACAAATAATAAATGAATGAAGAAATTTAATACACTATTTTACTTGAACACATGATTAAAAATTAACAGTAATAATAATGATTATAATAATAATTATAATCATAATAAATTCTAAATAACCTAAATAACTGACAATAATGACAAAAAATAATAATAAAAATTACGTAATTATTATTATTATTAATTAATTAATAATATTTAAAAAACTCAGCTTGACCATCAACCACAAAATTAGATATAGAATTATCTTTTAAACTGAGAGTTTCTTCCGGACTTAACTGTAATACTGTTGATATTACAGGAATTAAATGTTCACGTTCCGTTGAATCTGTTTCAAAAAATTTAAGTACAACATTTTTTAAATATTCTATATTTAAATCTTGTCGTTTTTCCAGTCGATCTAATTTCCGTATTTCTTCTTTTAATATCTGATAATAAATTATGATAATATTATAGATTATTAAATCTTAGTAAATTGTTATTATCTATTATTAAATTATAAAACAACAACACAAACCTTTTCTTGTTCCATTAATCTTTGTACATGAACTTCACTTTCATTTAACATTTCTGCCATATGTTGTAATTTCAATGCATAATCTTGCTCTTTATCAGATAAAGTTGATGCACGTTCTTCTGTATCCGCCAATAAATCTGATAATGAATCTAAATAAAGTGGTTAATAATGTAATTAATAATGTTTAATTGATAATCTTAATAATAATAATAATAATAATAATAATAAACATACTATATATAGAATTTGGTCTACTATGAGGAGATGAGGGTGAAGAAGAACGACTACTTTCTCTTCTAACGTGATGATTACGCATAGATTGAATTTTCCCAGTAGAGTTAATATTTGTGGTATTTGTAGTAATATTTGTAGTGGTAATGCTTGTATTATTTGTAGTAAAATTTGTCGTGTTATTTGTAGTGTTGTTTGTGGTAGTGGAATTAGAAGTAGTAGAAGAAGAAGAAGAAGAAGAATTAACGGGGAAAGTGGCGGCATTTAATTGTTTTTGTAATTCTTGTATTGTTTCTGAACGTTGTGATAATTCTGTTCTCATTTGTGATAATTCTTCACTTAAATGCTAAATAAATAAATAATGATAAAGAAATTATAATATGATATTATATATTGTGATATTTATAATGAATTACCTCTAATATTGATTGTAATTGGTCATTTTCTTCTTGCTTTTGCTTAAGACTTTTTTGAATTAATTCTGTTGATTTATTGAATCGATCATTAAAATCATTCACATTTGATTTATATTGTTCTTCTGTTTCTCTCTGAGCTAGATAAAATAAATAATAAATTGAATATAAGAATATAAATAAATTAAATATAAGAATAATAAAATGAATTAAATAATAATTAATATAAAGAATAAGTAATTTAATATAAACCAACATTTTTTCAATTTTTCATTCTCTTCTAATAAACTTTGATAATTTTCTTGTAAAGTTCTTATTACTTTGACATTTTCTTTTAAAACTTGTTGGGATTTTCCAAATTCCTTTTCAAGTTGACCATTACGTTTAAGTGATTGTTTCAGATCTCTTTCAAGTACCCGAATTTTTTCTTGAGAATAATTTAATTCCGCTACTTTCCCACTATATTTAAAATTATTTAAAAAGTGTGATAAATATTATTATTTTATTATTAAAAAGTGTAATACATTATTAAAATGTAAATATAAATTAAAATACCTTAAATCAGATTCCAATTTTTTATTAACAGCAATTAATTCAGAAGTATCAGTACCGGAATCAATATCTATTATATTATTATTAATTGATAAATTCTTTTGTTCAAGTAATGAATGAGCTCTCGCTTTATATTGTTGAAATTCTGATTTCAGTGATGTATTTTGTTGAGTTGTTTGTCGAAGTTTGGATTCCTGAATTAATTAATTATTATATTATTTATATTATTATTAGATTATTATTATTATTATTATTAGATTATTATTATATACCAATTGTTCTATCTGTGCATTATATGTGGAAGCCTGACTGTGTAATTCTGTGGTCAGTTTTTCTATTGATTCTATATATATATATAAATAATTATTAATATTAAATAATCATTAATATTTTTTTTTTAAAAAAAAAAATAAAAGATAAAAAAACAAACTTTGACTTTCATCAACTGATGATTTTGATTTTTCATCTTTCTCTTTTAAATTTTCCATTGTTTTTTTCAATTCTTCAATTTCTGAATCTTTAGTAACAACTGTTTGTCTTAGTTCCGTTAATTTTTTGTTGACATCATTAAATATTCCTAATTTATATTAATTATTATTATTATTATTATTATTATTATTATTGTAAATATATTAAAAAAAATAAATAATATATATATATTAAAACCTTTTAATTTCTTCATCTTTTCATTATTTTCTAATTTTGTCTTTTCCAATTCAGCTAATATTATAAAAATTTAAAATTAAATTATTATTATCATCATTTCATCATTATAATTATAATATATTAAAAGAATTTACATGTTCTCTTATCAACCAATTCCAAAGTTTTATTAAGTTCATTTTGTTTACTACTTAATTGAATTCGTAAATCTTTAACCTAAGGTAAAAATAAATAAAATAAATAAAAATTGATTTACAAATTTAAATATAATTTAAAAAAATAGATTTAACAGATTTTACCTCTTCTTCCAATATGAAATTTCGACTTTCAATATCATCAAGTCGAATTCTAGAATTATTTCCCGTAGGACTCTATATATATTTTATTAGATATTTAAAAATTTATATATAATAAACTTTTAAATATAATTAACTTACCTCGGTCCTAATTTTTGATTTTAAATTATCCATCTTCGGATCTAAATTAGGTTGTAATTGTTGTTGTTGTTGTTGTTGTTGTCCATCATCTTGACTATCCATTCTTTCCATTCTTTCCATTTTTTCTCTTATATGATTATATTGTTCTTATTTTTGATATATTATTATCTTTATATATATATATATATATATATATAATTTTTTTTTTCTAGTTTGATCAAATTAAATAAAAATTTAAATATTCTTATCCATTATTTGTCTATTATGATTATTATTATTAATTTTTTCAATTAATATTTAAACAATTAAAATATTTTAAATGTTCATTTATTATCAATCAATATAAATATTTTATTATTATTATTTTTTATTATACAAATTTTCTCTTCCTTCCTTCCTTTCTCTCTGTATGTCTAAATTTTGGTTTCGTGTAAGTGTGATTTTACACTTTTTTATTTTTTTTAAAGACGAAAATAAATAAATCTGTAAATCAATCAAACTTGTGAAATATTTTGTGATTTTCGGTTATCCCAAATTTTTTTGCTTAAGCACATGATTCTAGAATTTTATTGGCCCATAATTTAACAGGTGATCAGAAATATTAACAGATATTTTTTTTTGAGGACCTTATCTTAGACCCCCCGGTTCAGGATTTTATCACCCTTGAGATATTCGAATTTTATTGGTCCATAGTTTAGAGGTGATCATAAATATTACGTGCTATGTTCATGAGACAGATTTAAGGTGACAAATATGATTTTCGCATGCAAAAAAATTCTAAGTGTCTAGGATATTTAATAAAAATGATATTCGAAGGGTGTGATACACAGTAATAAAATATATTACCCCTGACAAACCCTAATTCAGATTGTTGATACACTTATTTTGATGTTCACATGATTTTGTTATTCTATAAACATATTTGTTGCATCACGTTACTCACAAATAAAAATAACTATATATTTATCAAAAACAATACCTTTGCCTTGCTAAAGTATCATTTTTGAGACACCTATGGTATTTTTTTGATATATCAGATATGTGTGACAAAAATGGTCATTTTTTTGATATGTTTATAATTGCTTTATTTATAGATGCATCAAAAAATAACTATTTTGTCACATGAAATTTGATATATCAAAAAAATAACCATAAATATATCAAAAACAATACTTTTGCCTTTGCGTTATTTTAAGTAACGTGATGAAACTAATATACATTTCATGTAATTCTTAGAATAACAAAAGAGAAAACTTAAACTAGACCCCAAGGTTTAGGTCATTTATTCTAGACCCCCAGGGTTTAGATCATTTTGTCTAGACCCTTTCTTAATTTATAAATATCAAAGTTAAATTTTAGTTGTACAATCCATCAAATAAATAATCTTTGTTTATTTTGTTATTATTATTATTTTTATTATTTTCATTTTGAATATTTTCTTTTGAATCAAATTGTTTCGCGGGGTTAGTTCCTTTTCTTTATTTTCACTGGGTTCATGACTA